GCAGAGATCCAATCGAAGCCCCCTGCTGCTTCAGCAGAGGGAGCTGCGTCGGGATCAGCAGAGCCAGGTTCGACACTCAGTCACGGCCAATTTTGGTCACCAGCTGTACCGCAACCGGAGATTCGGAGACAAGATCCAGAACAATAAGATAATATCCAGTCATTGTTTCACATTAGAGTGGAGTCGCAAGTTGATGATTCCACAAAGACAGAACTGAATGCGTTGGAAGTGCATGATGTGACGGAAATTTCACCACCAGGATTCACAGAGAAGTGCAAAGCATTCGGATTACTTCCTGGATACGCAGTTGACTTGCAGACAGGTTGTGACCTGATGGACAAAACGTAAGTAAAATGATCCTGGACGATGAAAATCCGTACCTGACTACAGGAAGCCCACCTTGTGGTCCATTGTCTATTCTACAAGGATTGAACCAAGGAAGAATGCACCCAGAGAAATTCCAAGCAAGATTGAAAGAAGGAAAAGAGATGTTGGAAACATCATGTTCGATCTACAAACAAAGGATCAAGAGAAGTATTTCCTACATGAACATCCGAAGTCAGCAAAGGCGTGGAAAAAAGAGACCAGTGAGAGGCCGAATGTGGCGATCGTATAGGGACCAATGTGTAGGTGGAAGATGGTAGGAAGAGATGCATTCGGAGAAGGACACAGCCGGAAACCCACGTATTGGATGACCAACCCGCCAAGAGTTGGCAGAGAGATTACGTGGAGTGTGTACAAACGACCTACCTGGCGGAAAGCATGAGTGGCAATGCCACATCCACCTATAGTGAACGGACGAGCAAAGATGGCCCGAATATAGCCGCCAGCTCTATACTTCGAGCAGTACTTAGAGCACTCCAGAGACAAATGAAAGCAGACGGAGAATACCGAGAAGTACAATGGTGAATGCTGGACCGGGCCCAGATGAAGAGATGAATCTGGAAGAATGCGAGGAGGACTTTGTACCAGGGAGGCCAAGGCGCTCACCGACCATGACACCCAACGTTTGAAGATGAATCCGGAAGAATACGTTGGAAGAATGTTGGAAGAATACGAGGAGGCCAAGGCGCTCAACGGCTTTGGTCAAGGCTTGATCGGTGAAGGCGGGCGTCAGCTTAGAGCAGATGGAAGAAGTTCTGCAGGATCCGGAGGACGAGCTCCAAATTCAAATGGCTCTGGGGCGACATCATCAACGAGACCCGTGGAGGTTCCGTTGGAGGAAGCAGACGAATTGGATGGAAACCACAATTTGAAGTCAATGATCCCAGAACCAACTGCCAACGTCCACGAAGCTTCATGGACAGGACCATTCTCTGTGATCAACACTACAACGTCAACGGCGATGAGACCTTTCCGACTGATTTCACGAGGATGGACAAACGGTATATGGCAAGACGTGTATCTTGTGCAGTGCCAACGAGATGTCGGACAAGTAAGTACTTCTTGTGGCCACCCGAGAATCAGAGAACCCAGATCCTGACCATGGCTGCGAGGCTTGCCGAAGAAGGCAACCCCGTCACGGACCCTCATGCAAACTTTGTCCAGTTCCGCAAGGACATCACCCTATGCAATGATGGGCAATAAGAGGATCGTCTTCGGTAAGACTCTCTTGAAAGCACTATCGCGCTGCGGTGTGGTGAGGGTGTCCCGTGATCTTGTGAACCAGATCTTCATGGGTAAGCGTGGGAGGAAATACCCTGTCATTCGCGAGGAGTTCTTTTTGGACCATACCACCAACAGTGGAGACAGGTTTGCATACCGAGTCGCCAAAGACTACGGGAATGTCTTCTACAAAGACTACCTCAAGATGACTCTTGGTCGCGAGTTTGCTGGCATCATGGATCATGCAGACATCGCCACCGAGAAGTGTGGGGATGTTGAAATTTGGTTGGGGCCGGGACCGACCAAAAAACATATTTCGTTCATGGACACACGCGCTGATCCAGGTGAATTGCTTGCAGGTCTGGAGGCATCCATCAATGTCTTTCAAGGAACGACGCCTTCTACTCAGACCTTAAAACTCAAAGCGGCACTCATCGAAGTTGACGCACACAACGTTCTACGAGAACGACAGGGTGCACAAGATCCAATGTGGTTGATCGAGGACCGGGAAATCGAGATCATCTGCGGGCTCTATGCTCAGCCTTTGAAGAAAGATGAAGATGATCCTATGGGCGAAGCAGGGCAAAGCGAAGGAGCGCCAACCGGCAAGCTCTGGAGCTGCGTCCTCGCGCGCTGAAAAAAATGTTGAAACGCTAGCCGATCGGCTGGCCAAATAGTACGCAGAATACTCCAGGTCCCATGCCCCATCCTGAGGAAGAGTACCAGATCTCCAGGGACAAGGGACAGGTAATGGATGCCATTGCCGCATTTTTCGCATTGGCCGACGACAACGTGCGGGCTGGAAAGTCTCTGAAATTTTGCTGGAGCCGTTGCTGGAACCTTGCTGGCTGGAACCTTGGTGAAACCTTGCTGGAACCTCGCCAGAACCTTGCTGGAAAATCAGTGGAACATTGCTGGAACTCTGGTGGAACCTGGTGTCGCTGGAACCTTTGGCTGGGACATTTTGCTGGGAACCAATTTGGGTGTCGATTTTGCTTTTCTTTTTGCATTTCTTGCTTTGCTTACTGTGTCGGGTTATGATGTTGGAAGTCTGGCTTGAACTTTGCTGGAACCGGGATGCAACCTTGCTGGAACCTATATGAGGACAACTTCTAGTTTTTTTGCGGCGAAACAATTAGAGACGACGATCCTTAAAATTGGCTGATACTGTGATGCTGGAATCCTTGCCTGAACCCTTGAAGGAACCTTTGCTGGAACCCTGGCATGAACCTTGCTGTCCACCGTTCCAAAATCACGGGGCAAAGTTCCAAGCTTGCACCAGGATCCCAAGGATGCAGGTTTCCAAGCTTCTAGGATTTGTTCAAGATTACAGGATTCCAGATTTTAAGGTTTCAGGGTTCCAAGGTTACGGGATTCCAGGGTCTATCGCTCCAGGTTTTTCAGGGTTTTATGGTTCCAGGATTTAATGATTCATGAAGCTCTCACAATATGGATCCCTTGGTCCATGGAATCTTGGAACCAGGAAATTGGAGTGTTGGGAGTATGAGGCTCTAGAGTCATGGAACTGTGGAATCCCAAGCTTGGCTTCTTGTAACCTTAGAGCCTTGCTACCCTGCCTGAAAGCGAGAGTGAAAAACATTTAACCTTTTTCTTTGTGAAACTGTCGAGTTGACGCCTTACTGTGGATCATACTGCTCATACTGTGTTCTTTAAATACACTGAAGCAACTCTATTGTGTTTTGCGTTTGCTTTGCATTGCGCTGGTCACTTCGTTGTTGATGAATCAAACCAAGACCCTTACAAGTCTGGAGCCCTGATGCTTGGAACCTTGAACCCTGGAAACTTGGAACCCCAGAACCCCGGTAATCCTGAACGTTGGAACCTTGTAACTCTCGAAATCTGCAACCTTGCAATCCTGGAAACCTGCAACTGTGGAATCCTGGAACCCTGCAAAGCCTTGGAACCTTGCCTGATAACATTGCAACCTTGGAACCCTGGAACCTGCTTTTGGGTTGCAAAGCTGGGTTGATGCAATGACATCCTCAAGCACAGTTCGTCAACGGGTATTTCATCATTGTGAACCAGATGGAAATGATGTGGAGTTGTCGCAAAATTTGCGCCCCCCCAATTCCGAAGGATTGGAGCCTTTTCATATATATATATACCGCATTTCTTTGGCCTTAAATTGAGATACATCCCGCGATTTTGGGTCAGCTCCTTGTGTTGAACATGGCTGACAGCAGTGGGGTTTCGATGATCACTCCACAACTGAGATGTTCCACCCGTGTCAAAAATCCAAGTTGTCTCCGGTATTCAAACTTGGCAGGTGAAAATCCTGATTTATGGATGTTTTTCCCATTAATTTCGCGCGGGGGTTTCCCAGCCAGCCATGTTTGATGACTCTGAAGGCATCTATGAGGTAGGAGCATGGGATGACAGCCAATGACCCTACTGTCAACGCAGTATCGATGTTGACCGGCTTTTCAAGTGGCAGGTACAGTTTGATCAGGGCAACCTGGCAACCTTCTCTCACTACCTATAAACTAATCTTAATGTTTTACCACTTAAGTGTCGTAGTGGACATTTGAAATCTGCAGATCCTCCACGCCATTTCCTCCACAGAATGGGAGGGGTTGGGGTGCCTATAACGCTACCATTCTGTGGAAAATTGTTCCTTAAAATGGGGTCGAGCTTGCCATTTTGTAGTAATTTGTGGGTTTTAGCTGGTTTATCTTTTTTTTTGAAGGCATGATCACTTATGGGCACCAAGACAAACCATTTTGTAACAAACCAAAAGCCATTCTGTAGAGGTCTTTAAGAATATGATTTGGTGGTTCAAGAAAATGCGAAATTATAGTCATTGACAAAGAAAAATCAGCTAGCCATTTTGTAGAGAACCCATCGTTTCAATACATGTACCATTTTGTAAGTGCATATTTGTGTTTGCACTGGTTGGCTCGGAAACGCAAAAGTTGCATGGAACAGATTGGTTCCACCTCCGAAAAGGATGAGTGAAGATGGACTAGAGAGTGAAAACCCTACAAAATGGCCCTGGGAAAAAGGCAGTTGACGCTGAGTTCTTGCCAAGATAGATGCTCCACAAAATGGCTCTGGGCTTTTCGCCTTTTTTATCACATCATGAATGCACTGGTTTGATCATTTTTTGACAAAATTGTCAAAATATTTGTGGATCAAAACAGGTGACAGGCGCTACCATTTTGTAGAGCCATGGTTTATGGACAGACCATTTTGTAGGATGGAGACTGTGTACCACAACCATTTTGTAGAGCAAATGGCTAGTCCACTACAAAATGGACCACTGCGACCCCACCCAGGGAATGGCAACAGGGATATCTGCAGTTCACAATTGGGATTGACGAGGTCAATCCAATCCTCCTTAATATAAAATCCTAGAACCCCCGGCTAGCTGTCAGGAAATGTTCGAAATTTTGGCCCAGATGGAGACAGAGGCAGGTCCTTCGAATGATGGATTTGTCTCGATTGATATGGATTTCGAATATGAATTGACAAATGTAGCTTTTCATCATGTTTCTAAGGATCCAATGGGAATTCTAGTATGATTTCTCAAGGCATCATCTTTTTTCAAAAGTCCTGATACGGATTTGTCATGACCTAAACTTATGATTTGTGAAGCAACCAGCACCTGCATAGACAGGTGTCTACACAGCAAGACCCGGTCGTGTAAAAATTCGAGGCAAACATTGGCCAACCATCACTTGTTTCTGGAGACATTCTCATTAAATCAATGATGGCATAGTCATGTCCAGCGATTGCTCTTCTGGTGGTTCATCAGAGCACCCTGCTTGTCCTAGGAAGTTGAGAGGGCCTTGGATGCACTGGCTGTGTTCGACACAAGGCCAGCACTGGCGCAAACACTGGTCAAAGTGGTTTGTGGAGGCGTCTACGGCGTCTACTATCTGATTTAGTGGGAATTGGTGTGTGTCGTTTTAATTTGGAATCCTTGCCAAGCTGCAGAATCAATGGGAATGAAGAGGTTGCGAGGCAAAGCTTTGTTGACAGATGGGCTAAAGATGCCAAGGCCTGGGAATTCATTTTGGCACGGTTTTCCCATGTCATTCCTAGGTTCTGACCTGTTGGGCTAAATGCCCACAACACAGATGATAAATTCTAGACCTATACACAAGCTTCTTGAGACCACCTAGTTTTCAACAAGGGGTTCTAGATGAGAGAACCATCAGCGACATGCTGAAAAATTGCTGTCTCACAACGGACACGCAAATCCCGGCTGAGAAAGTGTCATTTCTGGCACAGGAGTCTCTATTTATCTATTTTTGGTAAATTTTCAACTTGTAAAGCAGTTGTGTTTGGGATCCTTTGGGGTGAATGCGTAGTGGTTCTCTCACCCAGCTGTATACCCAGGGTCTCCCCTTTGTAGGCGCATCATGAACTTCATGACGATGATGTCCACTGAAATCCTGAATGGACGCGCCGACTTATCCTTCGGGCGGAGGGTACCTCGGTCAATATGCGTTGATGAGATGGCTGGAACTGGTGCGGCTTGTGTTTCTTTCAAGATGGCGGCCAAAATTGCCCAACTTGTGGCAATTTTCATAGGGAAAATGCAGGTTTAACTCCATCTCATAATTGGGTACCCTCTTTTCAGACAAGCCATGTTGGTCAGATTCCCAGAGGATGAACATCCATTGCTTAAAAGAAGGTTACATTGTAATGCCAAAAGATCCAAAAGGGAAACCATGTTTGTGAGCCGCTCTCATATCAAGACGGGCACGATCAGGAGCCACCAAACCCAATCTATGTCATTGTCAATGGGGGTATTGTCGGGTTGTCTCAAAATTTGGAAGCTTCAATTTCCCAATAAAAAGGCTCCTGTTTCGGCGTTCAAAGCGGGGTAGTCAGAAGTCTTTAGTTCATAGATGTGAAAAAACTGGGAAAGAGGGTCCCGAGGAGGGAGTCGACCCACAGGTCCTAAGTAGTCACCAAACTCTATAGGCTGGCTCAGAATTCCCAAGTCGGCGGGGGTCCTGCGTCACGAGACGGTATATTTGTAACCATTCAAACACGATTCACGGGACCGAAGATTGGATGGGTTTCTATAAGTTTCATTGCTTATTTCCTGGAAGCCGATGGCCAGATGGCCAGCTTGCCAGATGGTTCAAATTGTGGGCTTCCAGAAATAATCTACAACTACAAATGACCGGAACTGACCAGAAATTTGTCCATTCAGGAGGATTCCATGCTCAAAATATCTCAAAATAGGAGGTTGGTTACGATAAATTCCCATCAGCTGGCCTGCAAAACTGAGCTGAAGTGAGACGTCGGTTAAGGAGGGAACTGACCTTGTTGAGCCTGCGGGCATGAATTATCAGTTCCCTTGAATGTTTTGAGAACCAGCTGGTCAGAAACTTACGTTTCGACATGGCTGAATTCACCAGAGTTTGGCGGTCAGCTATGGAGGATTCCGTGCTCAGAATAGCCAAACTGATTCTCTAAAGACAAAACCAAGTCTGGGTGTCATCCAATCAGACCCTACAGCAAATACAACTGGCCAAGCTGAGGTGAGCTCTAAATCCTTTTCAAGCAAAGGCCAAGAAAAGCCCAAGCCAGCCAGAGAATTCTACAGCGTAGGCCGGGCCTCTGCTTAGTGTTGCTTGGTTGAAAAGACACCCAAAAACATGCATCACTGGAGAAGAGGAGGACTCAGCAGGAAGTCTGTGACATGTAGCTTTGATGGCGGATGGCCGGGGGTTCCAGGGTATTGTTTGCCGGAATCCCATGGTCTAGTATCCCTTTCCCCACACAAGTGCCAAGGGGCTCTATTTATTCTGGATTCTGGACGGTTAGCCCTCATTAACGTATTTATTTGGAATACAATGACTTCAGATCAGCGGTCAGACGACGACCCGTCAATGGATCTGGAGCTCCAATGCAAGAAAGCAGAAACCCTAAAGCCGGTATCGGATTTCTTCTTTTTTGGAACCCCAGATGGGATGCTTACGATTCTGGGCAAGGGATTCTTGCAGGTAGAGAATAGGACGGTTTCATAGGAATTCTCACATCATAGAGGCCACCGTATAGAGTACAAAGGGATCTTTTTTATTGGATCTGAAATCGTCATCATTTTGCATCATTGCCAGAAATGGTGGATCAAACCTATTTTTCACCATTTTTTTTGAGAGGAGGAATAGGAGGAATTCCGATTTACCAGCTATTTTCCTGTGAATGGAAGGGGTTCCCCAGGCTGTTTGGCGTCCTTCAGAGGACCCCGTGTGCCAGGAGAGGCACCACGCCATCCACCGCTCCCACCACCGCTGGGAATCCCAGAATCTTTAGGTGCAAAATGCTTTGCTAAGGCAGAATGGGCATGAAACCAAGAAGTTTATGGTGATGCAGATTGGATAAACATGGATAAACTATATATATATGTAATATATATATGTAATATTTATATATATATATTACATATATATATATATATGTATATATATATATATATGTGTAATATATATATATATATATATGTGTAATATATATATATATTTCAATTATAATCAATTATATAGTGATGTATATTGCTTCCCCCCTCACTTTTTCACAGGCAAATTACGGTAAATGGTGTAGGCTGTCTTCCCTATTGGTTATTCCGTATACTCCCAAAAATCGTACTTTTTTGGGAATGATATCCCTCAAGATAGGGTTACTAGAGACCCTTCCTTACTTGTAACGGTTACAAGTAAGGAAGGGTCTCTAAAATAGTGATAAAAATTCCAACTGTCCAATTGTACAGGGTACCATGCAGGCACCATACAAGTAAACCCATATACCAATAGCCTTAGGGATATACTATAAAACCTGTGTAATCTATAGAACTTGCATGCGCCGTGCGCTAGCCAGGCCCGTGCGCGCATGCTTTGTGCAAAGCTGTTGCGCGGTTGTTGTCCAAGACCATGACCTGCGCACGACCCCGGCGCAATGCAACGCCAAGCAAGCACTTTCCTCACACTTCACACTGCAATCTTCACATCCCGCACTTCGCGTCACACGTGCACTTCACACTCGACACTTCATCTCATCTCAAATCATGTGAGCTCTTCTCACCTCTTCTCACCTCCTGTCACCTCCTCTCACCTCCTCTCACCTCATCTCAGCTCTTCTCATCTCATCGCATCTCTTCTCACATGTCACCTAAGATATCTAAGTAAGTTCTTCTCAACTGTTTTTATCTCGGTGTAGCACTGATCAACCTTTCTCATCTCCTCAAAGTTCTTCTCAACTCATCTCAGCTGTTCTGCACGCCAGAAAGCTCTCACTGTCAGAGAGAAGTTTCTTGCACAAACAAACCATTTGGCACAGAAAGCTTTTGCACACAGAAGCTTGTGACACAGATGCATTCGCACAGGAAAGCATTCCCAAAATACTTTGTGCTTGCACAAAGCACTTCCCAAACTTTGGCTGTGCTACAAAGCAGTACTTTCCCAGCTTGATTACTTTGTACTACAGAGCTTGCACAAAGCACTTCCCAGTATTACTTTGTACTACAAAGCTTGCACAAAGCACTTCCCAGCACTACTTTGTACTACAAAGCTTGCACACAGCACTCCCCAGTACTACTTTGTACTACAAAGCTTGCACAAAGCACTTTCCAGTACTACTTTGTACACAGGGCTTGCACAAAGCACTTCCCAGTACTACTTTGTGCTACAAAGCTTGCACACAGTACTTCCCAGTACTACTTTGTACTACAAACCTTGCGCAAAGCACTCCCCAGTACTACTTTGTACTACAAAGCTTGCACAAATCACTTCCCAGTACTACTTTGTACTACAAACCTTGCACAAAGCACTCCCCAGTACTACTTTGTACTACAAACCTTGCACAAAGCACTCCCCAGTACTACTTTGCACTGCAAACCTTGCACACAGCACTCCCCAGTACTACTTTGTACTACAAACCTTGCGCAAAGCACTCCCCAGTACTACTTTGTACTTCCAAGCTTGCACAAAGCACTCCCCAGCACTACTTTGTACTACAGAGCTTGCACAAAGCACTTCCCAGTACTACTTTGTGCTACAAAGCTTGCACACAGTACTTCCCAGTACTACTTTGTACTACAAACCTTGCACATAGCACTCCCCAGTACTACTTGGTACTACAAAGCTTGCACAAAGCACTTCCCAGGACTACTTTGTACTACAGAGCTTGCACATACTACTTTGCACTACTAAGCTTGCACAAAGTACTTCCCAGTACTACTTTGTACTGCAAACCTTGCACAAAGCATTCCCCAGTACTACTTTGTACTACAAAGCTTGCACATAGCACTTCCCAGTAATACTTTGTACTGCACAAAGCTTGCACAAAGCACTCCCCAGTACTACTTTGTACCTTTGATATTTTAGCATTATAGTTAACTTGATGTTCTAAATTAGAACGCACAGCATGGGGGCCTGTGCGGGTCCGTTCCGCATCATCATCACCATCGTCGTCATCATCATCATCATCATCAGCATCAACTTTCATCATCATCATCATCACCATCATCATCATCATCATCTAATAACATGATCATCATGGTCATCATCATCACCATCATCACTACCTTTGTTGATCTTCCAATTAATTATAAAGTTTAACGGGGGTGGGACTTTTACATTCCCAAATGCTTTTGTTGATCTTTTTCAACTGTATGTAAAGTCTAAACTGTGGTGGGACTTTTATATTCCCTAATACGTTTGTTGATCTTCCCAATTGAACGTAAATGGTGGGGCTTTTATATTCCTAATATCTTTGTTGACCTTCCCAACTGATCTTCCCAACTGGATGTAAAGTTTAACGGGGGTGGGACTTTTATATTCCCTAATGCATTTGTTGATCTTCCCAATTGAATGTAAAGTTTAACGGGGGTGAGACTTTTATATTCCCTAATAACTTTGTTAATCTTCCCAGTTGAATGTATTGTAATAGTTTAACGGGGGTGGCTTTTTTAATTCCCTACTACTGCCCTTATTGCTCGTCCCAAGTCAAGCAGGGTGTGGGCGAAACAGGGTGTTTGTGCGACAAAAAGTACTCCCCAGTACTACTTTGTACTACAAAGCTTGCACAAAGCACGTCCAGTATTACTTGTACTACAAAGCTTGCACAAAGCACTTCCCAGTACTACTTTGTACTATAAAGCTTGACAAAGTACTTCAAAGTACTACTTTGCACTACAAAGCTTGTACAAAAGCAAGCTTTTACACAAAGAAGTCACGAAAGCGTCAGCTAGCTGGAGTCTTCTTGCTTTAGCAAGTATTGGGGGGGCTGCTCAAGGACATCACGTGATTTTTCACGCGAAAGGGGGCCCCCCCCCTCCCCCACCACCACCACCATCACCACCATCACCATCATCATCATCATCATCGTCATCATCATCGTCATCATCATCGTCATCGTCCTCTCCATCGTCCTCGTCCGCGTCCTCGTCCTCGTCCTCATCATCATCATCATCATCATCCTCATCATCGTCGTCCTCGTCATCTTCCTCGTCATCGTCATCGTCATCGTCATCATCATCATCGTCATCATCATCATCATCCTCGTCATCATCATCATCATCATTCATCATTCATCACTCATCATTCATCATTCATCATTCATTATTCATCTTTCATCATCATCATCATCATCATCATCATCATCATCATCGTTATTCAATTACATTTTATCATTATTGGCAATTATTGTCATTATCACGAAAGCTAGCGTCAGCTCGCTAGAGTCTTCTTGCTTTAGCACGTATTCCGGGGCTCCCCAAGGACATCACGTGATTTTTCCCGCGAAAGGGCCCCCCCCTGCCCCCTCCCCCATATATATCATTGTTGCATCCTCGTTGGGACGAACAATGCCGCGACACGATGATGACAGTCCCTCCGCAACTCACCTCTTCCCTTCCTTCTTTCTCCTACCCCGCTAGCTTTCGTCATCCACCCCCGGCCTCAAGTTTTTACAGAGAGAAGGTTTTAAACAAAGAAGTTCTTACACAGAGAAACTTTCTGGTACATAATGACAACAGGAATTGCAGCTCCAAAGCCGGATCCCGGCGCCAAAGCGAAAAAACACCGATTTAAATTTGAAGCGCTTTTTAAAAGGAAATTTCAAAGGAAAATCAAATCTGCTGACAAGTCACTATCGCAGCCTTGATGCAGCCACTCCATTACGATTTACGATGCACGCATGCAGCCGCGGCACCAAGCAACCTTGACGCAGCCATTACAGTGCGATATCGAGATATTGGGATGCAAGACACAATAGAACTATGCGCAATGATGTGAGAAATCTTTCTGGTACATAATGACAACAGAAATTGCAGCTCCAAAACCGGATCCCGGCGCCAAAGCGAAAAAACAACGATTTCGAAGCACTTTTTAAAAGGAATTTTGAAAGGAAAATCACCAGCGCCAAAATTGAGAAAATCTGCTGACAAGTCACTATCGCAGCCTTGATGCAGCCACTCCATTACGAATTACGTTGTCCAGCCGCAGAAGACAACCCTGAGCATCCGCTATTGATTACAATCAACAGGGAAAATTTCATACTTTTGTGGGGATTTGAGATCAATAGAAAATATATTGATTTCAGAGCTGAAAAAATCAATAGAAAAAACGGGTTTTCAAAGGTCAAAATCAATAGAGAATTTCTGTATTTTTCACTTTTTTTTGTTTTGCCCTCTGCTTTTGATGTTTCTATTGATTTCAAAAGTGAGACTCTGGTGTGAAACATCTATGCCTAGAACCTTTTGCAAGGGTGTGTGGGCAGACCATTTTGCAAGGTCAGGCATCATCATCGTCCATGATGTCGAATGCTGAAGGCTCTCTGGTGTACGAAAACACTGGTCAAAGTGGTTTGTGGGGACGTCTACTATCTGATTTAGTGGGGATTGGTGTGTGCGTGTGTGTGTGTGTGCGTCGTTTTAATTTGGAATCCCTGCCAAGCTGCAGAATCAATGGGAATGAAGAGGTTGCGAGGCAAAGCTTTGTTGACAGATGGGCTAGAGATGCCAAGGCCTGGGAATTCATTTTGGCACGGTTTTCCCATGTCATTCCTAGCTTCTGACCTGTTGGACTAAATGCCGACAACACAGATGATAAATTCCAGACCTATACACAAGCTTCTTGAGACCACCTAGTTTTCAACAAGGGGTTCTAGATGAGAGAACTATCAGCGACATGCTGAAAAATTGCTGTCACGGGTCACAACGGACACACATCCAGGCTGAGAAAGTGTCATTTCTGGCACAGGAGTCTCTATTTATCTGTTTGTGGTTTTCAACTTGAAAAGCAGCTGTGTTTGGGATCCTTTGGGGGTGAATGCGTAGTGGTTCTCACCCAGCTGGAGACCCTTTGTACGCGCATCATGAACTTCATGACGGTGATGTCCACTGAAGTCCTGAACGAACGCGCACCGACTTATCCTTCGGGCTGAGGGTACCTCGGTCGATACGCGTTGATGAGATGACTGGAACTGGTGCAGCTTGGGTTTCTTTCAAAATGGCAGCCAAGGGAAAATTAAGGTTTAATCCATGAGATGGAATGGCATATATAACTGGGTGCCCTCTTTTCAGACAAGCCATATTGGTCAGATTCCCAGAGGATGAACATCCATTGCTTAAAAGAAGGTTACATTGTAATGCCAAAAGATCCAAAAGGGAAACCGTGTCTGTGAGCCGCTCTCATATCAAGACGGGCAAGATCAGGAGCCACCAAACCCAACCTATGTCATTATCAATGGGGGTTGTCGGATTGTCTCAAAATTTGGAAGCTTCAATTTCCTCATTAAAAAGGCTCTTGTTTCGGCGTTCAAAGCGGGGTAGTCAGAAGTCCTTAGTTCTCAGATGTGAAAAAACTGGGAAAGAGGGTCCCGAGGAGGGAGTCGACCCACAGGTCCTAAGTAGTCACCAAACTCTATAGGCTGGCTCAGAATTCCCAAGTCGGCGGGGGTCCTGCGTCACGAGACGGTATAAACACGATTCACGGGACCGAAGATTGGATGGGTTTCTAGGTTTGATTGCTTATTTCCTGGAAGCCGATGGCCAGATGCCAGCTTGCCAGATGGTTCAAATTGTGGGCTTCCAGAAATAATCTACAATTACAAATGACCGGAACTGACCAGAAATTTGTCCATTCAGGAGGATTCCATGCTCAAAATATCTCAAAATAGGAGGTTGGTTACGATAAATTCCCATCAGCTGGCCTGCAAAACTGAGCTGAAGTGAGACGTCGGTTAAGGAGGGAACTGACCTTGTTGAGCCTGCGGGCATTATCAGCTCCCTTGAGTGTTTTGAGAACCAGCTGGTCAGAAACTTACGTTTCGACATGGCTGAATTCACCAGAGTTTGGCGATCAGCTATGGATGATTCCATGCTCAGAATAGCCAAACTGGTTCTCTAAAGACAAAACCAAGTCTGGGTGTCATCCAATCAGACCCTACAGCAAATACAACTGGCCAAGCTGAGGTGCTCTAAATCCTTTTCAGGCAAAGGCCAAGAAAAGCCCAAGCCAGCCAGAGAATTCTACAGCGTAGGCCGGGGCCTCTGCTTAGTGTTGCTGTGTTGCAAAGCCCCCCAAAGCATGAATCACCGGGGAAGAGGAGGACTCAGCAGGAAGTCTGTGACATGTAGCTTTGATGGCGGATGACCGGGGGTTCCAGCACCTCAAGTTTCACAATAGGGTATTGTTTGCCGGAATCCCATGGTCTAGTATCCCTTTCCCCACAAAAGTGCCAAGGGGCTCTATTTATTCTGGATTCTGGTTGAACAAGTTCCATGCGTCATTTACGTATTTATTTTGAGTACAATGAGCTCAGATCAGCGGTCAGACGACGGCCCGTTAATGGATCTGGAGCTCTAATCATGATCTAATGCAAGAAAGAAGAAACCCTAAAGCCGGTATCGCATTTCTTCTTGCTTGGAACCCCGGATGGGATGTTTACGATTCTGGGCAAGGGATTCTTGCAGGTAGAGAATAGGACGGTTTCATAGGAATTCTCACATCAAGCGTATAGAGTACAAAAGAATCCAATTTTGGATCTGAAATTCTCATCATTTTGCATCATTGCCAGAAATGGTGGATCAAACATATTTTTCACCATTTTTTGGGAGGAGGAATAGGAGGAATTCCCATTTACCAGCCATTTACATCCATTTACCAACTATTTTCCTCTGAATGGAAGGGCTTCCCCAGGCTGTTTGGCGTCCTTTCGAGGACCCCGTGTGCCAGGAAAGGCACCACGCCGTCCACCGCTCCCACCACCGCTGGGGATCCCAGAATCTTTAGGTGCAAAATGCTTTGCTGAGGCAGAATAGGCATGAAACCAAGAAGTTTACGGGGATGCAGATTGGATAAGCATGGATAAACTATATATATATTTTTTTATTTATATATATATATATATGTTTCACAATTATAATCAATGTTTATAATGATATATATTGGTCCCCCCCTCACTTTTTCACAGGCAAATTACGGTAAATGGTGTAGGCTGTTTTCCCTATTGGTTATTCCTACTCCCAAAAATCGCACTTTTTTGGGAATGATATCCCCAAAGATAGGGTTACTAGAGACTCTTCCTTACTTGTAACGGTTACAAGTAAGGAAGGGTCTCTAAAATAGTGATAAAAATTCCAACTGTCCAATTGTACAGGGTACCATGCAGGCACCATACAAGTAAACCCATATACCAGTAGCCTTAGGGATATACTATAAAACCTGTGTAATCTATAGAACTTGCATGCGACGTGCGCCAGCCAGGCCCGTGCGTGCGTGCTTTGTGCAAAGCTGTTGCACGGTTGTTGTCCAAGACCATGACCTGCGCACGAACCCGGCGCAATGCAACGCCAAGCAAGCACTTTCCTCACACTTCACACTGCAATCTTCACATCCCGCACTTCGCGTCACACGTGCACTTCACACTGGACACTTCATCTCATCTCAAATCATGTGAGCTCTTCTCACCTCTTCTCACCTCCTCTCACCTCCTCTCACCTCCTCTCACCTCATCTCAGCTCTTCTCATATCATCGCATCTCTTCTCACATGTCACCTAAGATATCTAAGTAAGTTCTTCTCAACTGTTTTCATCTCGATGTAGCACTGATCAACCTTTCTCATCTCCTCAAAGTTCTTCTCAACTCATCTCAGCTGTTCTGCACGCCAGAAAGCTCTCACTGTCAGAGAGAAGTTTCTTGCACAAACAAACCATTGGGAGCAGAAAGCTCTTGCACACAGAAGCTTGAGACACAGATGCATTTAAACAGAAAAGCATTCCCAAAATACTTTGTACCACAAAGCTTGCACAAAGCACTTCCCATTACTACTTTGGCTACTTTGTGCTACAAAGCTTGCACACAGTACTTCCCAGTACTACTTTGTACTAAAAAGCTTGCACAAATCACTTCTCAGTACTACTTTGTACTACAGAGCTTGCACGAAGTACTTCCAGTGGGTGCGTCAGCCAGTCTGCCAGAGTGTTTGAGTGACTGAGTGGCTGGGGTGAAAATTTCCGCCATTGCGCGCTCAACCCAATCTCAGAAACGGATGGCTTTTGATTTTTGCGGGTTTTCAAACTGGGAAAAGCAGGTGGCATGCAGGTATGTTGACGATTGTATTGCAATTAGCCCCTTTTATTGCTCCTTTTGCTTGCATATTTTCTTCCAGTCAAAGTCCAATGCGCAGTTCGAGTTACAAAATTCTGACCCTCTACATGCAACCTGGCTTGATTTAGAATGTTGTGTAACTGAGCGACAACTTGGTATTGAAATCTCACAACCAGAACATCGCTGGATTAGAGGTCTTGAAGGTGAACCCAAGAAATTTCGAATGGCTCCTTCTCGAGGTTTTGCTCCCCATGATGCCAAAGTCCGGATACGGAATATGCAAGCGCGCCTAATGCAGGTTTATTCTGGGCCCGTGGGGCCGGGGCTGGAACATGCTCTGGGCGCCTTACATTCTGCTATGAATATTTGGTTTCGTAGCGGGTATTCTGAAAATATGGTGTTTTCGCCCTCTGGGTGCGACACTTGTCCAATGCCACGTTGGCAACCTTGGCAAAACGGTGGAGAAGACCGGCTTGATTTTTGCTTTGTGTTTTTAGCTTGTTTTCTTTAAGTTTTTCTTTTTTGTTTGTGTTGTTGTGTTCGGTTTTGAGAGGAAAAAGGGAAGCTTTTTTTTGCCAGCGGCTATGTGTTTTAGTCCGCAGTTGACGTCTGTCACAAAGTGCTGTAGAGATCTTTCCACGAAGCTAGACATCATGCCATGCAACAATTTTCGTGGCCAAGGGTATGGGAAAGGCTATGATGGCAAAGGCTATGATGGGGGCAGACCTTACAGGCAGCCTTACCAGCCAGGACCACATGGAAAAGGTTCTTCGAAAGGCCTGTCTGACCTACTTGGCCAGCTCCGGTCAGAGATTGCAGCTCAGCACCAGCTCCAGGCCATAGCTGGTGTGCTCATGCCAGGAAGCTCTGCTGGGTCTCTTGCCGCTCCGCTTCAGCAGGCCCACGATTTGACTGTGCAAAACACAAACGAGCTCAAAGCCATCAAGGACATGTTAGCAGCCGTGCAGAGTGACAAGAATTCAGCTAGTGCGGCGGTGCCTGACGAAGATGTTGCGAATCCAAAGATCAGTGCTATGTTGAATCAGATCCGGGCTGACCTTGTACAATCTTGTGCAGCTCAAGCCTGCGGCTGGCAGCCTTCAGTCGGCACATCCTCCAGTCCAACAGGGAACCAGGAGTGACTTGGAGGCTGAACTTGCTGCCCCGCGGCTGGAAGGCCACGGGCAGCTTCGTCTTCAGTACGCCCTGCGGCCTCTACATCTGGCCGTTTATCTCGTTTGCGAGCTCGGGCCCCAAAGGAGATTGTTGAGGTCAGCAAAGTTCAGCACTTGGCTTTATACAAGGACATCCTGCAAAAGCGAACCAGTATGAGGTCTGAGGCTATTGATTTGACGATTTGGTGCCAGCAGCAGGCAAGCAAATGGGGAGATGATGATTTCCAAAATGCCGTCGAGAAAACATCCCCCAATGATTTGCTTGATTTTGCCAGTGATGAGCAGATTGTGAAATCATGCTTCCTGAAATGGGTTCGGCGTGAGGACGGCTCTGGCGCTTCTGACTGACTCGGCCCCGTGTGGGGAATGATGCGTGGTGCTAGTGTGGTCGCTGTTGCCTTGGCCCCTTGGATACCAAGCCTCCTTGCCTTCATCTTCTTCCTTCCTTTGGAACTCCTCCGCTGGATGCTGCCTGGCTCAGCCTTTTTGTCTGAAAGACAGCAGATTCTGGAAGAGTCAGAGAAGGATGCAAGTGAAAGACATGGATATGGATGACTTGAATGATGGTTCCGATCTTGATTTCTCGGGGTCAGACCTCCACCCCGCTAGTGACATTTTCTCTGTCACTCCGCTGGAGGGTCATGCAACTTTCTTTCCCGAGATTGCTTTCCTCACCATGCTCGGTGGACCATGGCACCAACGGCTACCCATGACCGAAGGTTTTCGAGCTTGCTATGCAATTTGGCTGGGAGGGTTGTTTGTCACTTCCCTTTCAGCAGTCAGATTTTGTGATGTACGACTGTACGACAGACGGCTTGAGCCACATTTTGTTGTTCAGCTACGGTGTGCGGTGGAAACAATTTGCTTCTCTCTTGATCAATTGATGATTTTGTCCAGAAATTCATTTGCCGAAATTTCCCAGCTCCATTCTTGCATCCTTCCTCTAGTTGCGGCGCTCAAGTGCGGATAATCTGTGCGCATGTCAACAGCAGCCGAAGCTTTGGTCGTCAGGCCCCAGGATCCCTAGAGGAAAACAAAGCTGCTGGTGCATTCCACTTCGAGTGCGTGATCGATTTCTTTTTTCCCCCACCTGCCAGGTGAGGGTTGTTAGATTTTATGTCAGTTGCCTGCTCCTCTCCTCCTCTCCTCTCCTCCTCTCCTCTCCTCCTCCTCCTGCTCAACCGCGACCCTCGACGCACAGTGTTCTCTGTCGGACCTCAACCACGACCATCCACGCCCAGTGTTCCCTGCCGGACCTCAACCACGACCATCCCCGCCCAGTGTTCCCTGCCGGACCTCAACCACGACCATCCACGCCCAGTGTTCCCTGCCGGACCTCAACCACGACCATCCACGCCCAGTGTTCCCTGCCGGACCTCAACCGCGAGTATCCACGCCAAGTGTTCCCTGCCGGACCTCATGTAGGAAGATATGGGACAAAGAATGTGCAGAAGAAAGTTAGAAAGAATGTGCACCGCTGGACCTCAACGGCCAGATAGAATGCCAGAAGATATGCCAGGTGGAATGTCAGATAGAATGCCAGAAGATATGCCAGATAAAATGCCATGAGATATGCCAGATAGAATGGCTGAAGGTATGCCAGAAGATATGCCAGATGGTATGCCAGATAAAGTGCCAGAATGTTTGCCAGATAGAATGCCAGAACATTTGCCAGATAGAATGCCAGATAGGATGTCAGAAGATATGCCAGAAGATATGCCAGATAGAATGCCAGATAGAATGCCAGAAGATTTGCCAGAACATATGCCAGAAAATATGCCAGATAGAATGCCAGAAGGTATGCCAGATAGAATATCAGATAGAATGCCAGAAGGTATGCCAGAATGTTTGCCAGATAGAATGCCAGAAGATTTGCCAGATAGGATGGCAGAAGATATGCCAGAACATATGCCAGAAGATATGCCAGGTAGAATGCCAGAAGGTATGCCAGATCGAATGCCAGAAGATATGTCAGATAGAATGCCAGAAGATTTGCCAGTAACAAATCGATAAATGTCATGGTGGGGATCACACGAAGTAAAGTAATTGCGACACTATAGAGAAAGAGCCCACACGAGCCGCAATCCCAAGACTTCATCCCAATGGATTCCCCCCCAGCTCGCAGCGCAGAGAGAGCTGGTACAATTGCCTCCGACTCCCCCGGATCTGCAAGCGGTTGGTCATCCCCAAAAATTGATGGCTCATACCCGTCATCGGGTTCCATGGCCATGTCGGCTTCTAAGGCTTGTAGTTCAGTACCAGCGTCTTCCACCCTGCGAGGTTTTGATATGTTTTGATCTTTGAGGGACCTAATTTGGTACCTCTCGTGACAGTGAGTGGCTGCTTATACCTTCCAATCTCTCTGGTGGATCTCGAGGGTCCGCAACTCGAGGCGAGCCACAGCTTGCAGCGGATCAGGCGCAAACACTGATCTTGCGTGCTGGACCAAATTGGCTTCTTCATCCAGCGCAACCCGTCCATTAATTGGTCATGGGCGGTGATTGCCCCATAATCCTCATAGTTTGTAAGGTGCAGAAAATGCCCCTTCTTTGCGATGCCACCTTTTGGCCTTCAGTTGGGCCAAAACTGCGAACTTCGGCATTCCTTACAAGGAGCGCCTAGCTTTCTCATTTGTGATCTCAGCCTCTCTTCGATACCTTGGCGCGCGGCACACGACCAATATAGGCGGTGTTGACCTTTGAGTCGGCAAGCAATAGCCACAACCTTCTTTTGCATTAGAGTACTTCTCCTTCTACTCTGCCGTTCGAATCTGGCTCGTTGCCCGCATTTAATGTCTGGTAATGTCTGGTATACCTGTCGCTCCAGACACCAAGTGGAGACGCTTTTGGTTGTGAAGGATCGTTCTCGATCCGTGTGCAGTCTATATACTGGCACTCCCAGGCTTAAGCCTCTGGCGTGGCGGCGTGGATCTTTGACAGTGCTGTCACAATCTCATCTGCAGCACGGGAAGCAATGGGTTCCAGGAATGTTAAGTTCACGACAGGCACAGGCTCTGACAACTCTTGAGCCTCCTTTTTTATGGCTTCCACCCATTTCTGATTTCTCTTTCGCGCTGCTTCCACTGAGATCAGTTCCTTTGGCTCCTCCGGTCCAAAGAGATCATCCTTTGGATCGGCGTTTGAGGGAACACCATTTTGGCTTCCACCGGAGCACCCCCTTCCAGCAGCGTCCGCGGGAGGACTACCTTCCGGTAGACCTTCCATGGCGATCCCAGTGCCAAAATGGCCGAGTCCAGAGGAACGGGGTGGTGCACCGGCGGAAGCCGTAGAAGTGCCTTGCAGAAGGTGTGCAGTGCATACCTCACCTTTCTTCGCTTTGACACCCCGAAGTCCTTGAACGGACCACAAATGTCAGCTGACATCGTGAAAGCTGACGTCTGACCTGGCTTTCGTCGATGCGGTTCAGCCGCCCCCATAGTTTCCAGACAAGTTTGACAATCCCTTCCATAGGAAAATGTTGGCTCTGGATATGGTTCTTCCATCCCTCCACATCCAGCTTTTTCAAATTAGGACTCTGAGATTCAGCCTTCAAGAACCGTGGGATCACCAGCTTCAACGCCTTAACTAGGCCAGGTGCCCAGGCTGCCCAGGATGCTGACTGTTTCATCCTGTCTTGAAGAGGTTGGAGAATTTTCTCCCCCAGATCCCGTGAGATCATTCCATCAAGCTCTGCCAGCGCTGTCATGTAGGTTGGTTCTTTCCTCACATGGCCAAGAGCTCCTTGGTCTAACCGCACATGGACAATGTTGTGACGCTTAGCAAATTCATGCTCTGGCCGCTCCCAAAAAACTTGGGAATTCCTCAAGCGGTCCCAAGTACTCCGCCGGGTCACGCGGATTCGCCAACAGAAGCCCACAATTCCCAGTCAGCCCAGCTTCAACCATGCCTTCTTGGGATTTCTCATACAGGCCCAAAGCCTTCAGATACAGTGGTGCGTCGCCATTCGCTCGCAAAGATCTCCTCCTCCCAGATCTTCCAAGTGGAACCTCAAGCTACCTCTGCCTCGGAGCGGCTTGGGTCCTGGGCGCTGATGCCGCATTCGGCTCACAGTTCTGCTTGTGGCCCACACAAGATAATCCGGATTTGGCCTTGAGCTGCAGCAGGTATGACCACACAATTGGATTGTGCAGGTCCTCCTGCAAGAATTGGCTGATGTGTCAATCGTGAAGATCTCCACATCCTTGGTTTCCAGGTCCTTCCACGGATGAGCGCTTTTCTCATTCCCTGAGAACAGATGCACCACCACTCCTCCCTGAGCGCCTTCTAGCCGACCCCTCTTCCGTCTATTCCATGGAAGCGTCCCTTCCTTCACCTCATCCCATGATACCCCTTGACCCCTGATATAGAACCAGATATCATCAGGCACTTGTGGAAACCTCTCCCTTCACCAGTCCAACTCTCTAGGAGTACAAGTAGGTTCATACGGGTCACTCACTTTTTTCTGCTCGAGTGCTTCCAGGAGGTTCAAGGCCTCAGACCGAACCATCACTGGGCACCCCTGTCGGCGAGTGCACGCCAGCTTCCCATACCTTGGGTGTTCTATCTCACACCCATTCCTGGACCATGTGATGGTAAACCCTTCATCTTCCTCAGAGGAATGATAGGTTCCACCGGCTCCAGTGACAACAATGTCAATGTGTCGTGGTATGGCACCTTGTGAAGGGTAACCTTACCCAAGCCTCAGGCTTCAACCTCAGTTTCTCAAGAGGCGATGCCGTCAGCCATTGAGAGTAGTAGGCCTCAACCGTCTTCACGGTCTGAGTCCACCACTCCTTTGCACTTCCCGGCACATCGCGCATGATGGGAAACACCACCGTCATCCAATCCCAAAGTGGAGAGAAGCCCCGTCACACCCCGGAGTTAGAAGCTTGGGTAGCTCCAGCGTTCGTAGAGCTTCAGTCAACGATCCTGCCATCGTGAAAGGCATCGTTGAGTCTCCCACTGGAACTCCTGTTTGAATTCCAGGTGGCGGCGTCGATGGTCTTCCGGTCCCAGAAGGACCCTTGGCTGACCTCCAACCACACCATTGGGAACCCACATCGGCCCTCTTGGCTGAGGACTCATCTGACCCCCAAACGTTGGTCCCCCATCCATGCCACTGGATGCCGTTTTGTATGACTGTGCCTCTTCCGAAGCCCCTTGAATTAAGCCTTTGCACTTCCCTGGCAAATGCTTCCTCCGCTTCTCTCATGACACGTTTTCGAATTTCCTCCACTGCTGATGCAGTTGGGTCAGCCATTCCTGCCGCTGGCTCGTCCCTCTTGGCCCTAGTTATAATTGGCTTGAAACCGGTGGCGAGGTCATCTCATTCCCCATCTGCTGGTAGGTCGCCTCCAAAGCCCTCGGTGCCAGCATCATCGACTGCGGCAAAGGCTCCAGAAGCGGTCCCAACAAACCACCGTTCTGCCCACCACTATAATAGGACGTCTTCCATCTCGTTCAGCACCTCCCGGATCCTTTCCTCTGCAAGGTTCAGCAGGTAGACACTGTACAGTATAGTACATCAGGATCCCCTTGAGGTAGTTGATAGTGGTCTCGGTCTCCAGTTGAAGTGTCGCTCCACCCAGCGCTTGAAGCTGTGTGCCAGCCGCTCCCACAGCACCAGCAGCACCTTGCACGGCACCCCACAGAAACTGACCAGCAGCAACGGGCCTCATGGCTGTCGCATCCCGCATCATCACCTGCTGCCTCACATCGGACTGTTGACCCATCTGTCCTCCACCACCTTGAAGAACAGGTCGACCAGCTTGAGTTCCTTGATCCCTTGCTTCATGTTCATCGCGTCGTCCAGGTTCAGCAGGCGGCCCGAGCTCCAGTCTACGAATTCCAGCTTCCAACTGCCGAGGCACTGAGCGGGCTCTTGTAGAGGCAGATATTCTTCTACTGCGCTCCTGCTCCTCAATCTCCCTTTCACGTTGAACTTCAGCTATCTTCCGATCCAAAGTCTCATCGGCCGTCTCCTGCTGCCCAGCTCGCCGGCGCTGCAACATCGACATGGCTCACACAGTAGCAGCGAGGCTTGGGCTCATAACCTTGGGTTATGAGTCATGAGGTTGGTATGATTGCAGCGCGCTCAGCTGCAACCTATTTTGACTTGAGCCATTACGGTAAATCCGAGCAGCTTCACAACGTGTCATCCTGGCAATGCCGGGGCCAAGTGGACAACCCTACAAGCAACTGGACAGCAAAAAAGTGAAGCTATACATCTTACTGTAACCAGGTGGTTTGAGTATTGGACCAATTCGTATCCACAGAATCAAATTGCAAGGGACCATGCCAAAAGCTACAACGTAGACGCGACAGAAATCTCTGTTGTATGGAAAAAAATTACTTTACTTCGTGTGATCCCCACCGTGACATTTTTACATTTTCTTACTGGCAAATCTTCTGGCATTCTATCTGACATATCTTCTGGCATTCTATCTGGCAAATCTTCTGGCATTCTATCTGGCATATCTTCTGGCATTCTATCTGACATATCTTCTGGCATTCTATCTGGCATATCTTCTGGCATATCTTCTGGATCTGGCATATCTTCTGGCATTCTATCTGGCATACCTTCTGGTATATCTTCTGGCATATCTTCTGGCATATCTTCTGGCATTCTATCTGGCATATCTTTTGGCATATCTTCTGGCATATTATCTGGCAAATCTTCTGGGATTCTATCTGGCATATCTTCTGGCATATGTTCTGGCATATCTTCTGGCATTCTATCTGGCATATCTTCTGGCATATTATCTGGCAAATCTTCTGGGATTCTATCTGGCATATCTTGTGTCATTCTATCTGACATTTTATCTGGCATACCTTCTGGCATTCTATCTGGCATATCTCATAGCATTTTATCTGGCATATCTTCTGGCATTCTATCTAACATTCCATCTGGCATATCTTCTGGCTTTCTATCTGGCATATCTCATGAGGTCCGGCAGGGAACACTTGGCGTGGATACTCGCGGTTGAGGTCCGGCAGGGAACACTGGGCGTGGATGGTCGTGGTTGAGGTCCGGCAGGGAACACTGGGCGGGGATGGTTGAGGTCCGGCAGGGAACACTGGGCGTGGATGGTCGTGGTTGAGGTCCGGCAGGGAACACTGAGCATGGATGGTCGTGGTTGAGGTCCGACAGAGAACACTGTGCGTCGAGGGTCGCAGTTGAGCAGGAGGACGAGGATGACGAGGAGGACGAGGAGGACGAGGAGGACGAGGAGGAGGAGGAGAGGAGGAGGAGGAGGAGAAGGAGGAGAAGGAGGAGGAGGAGGAGGCAACTGACATAAAATCTAACAACCCTCACCTGGCAGGTGGGGAACAAAAACTCAAGCTGTTTGGGCACATACTTTGAAGGGATCATGCAGGTCCGCTTAGACAAGTGCTATTTGGATACAGGACATTCGCACCCAGAATTCTTCCAACCAAAAGAGTAGGCAGACCAAAACTGGACTGGCAAAATGAAACAGCAAAAGATGCTTTACACGCCCTCAGTAGAGTGGCGCCGCACCCCCAACCAAGCTGACATAGATTAATTACTTGGCGGTGGCTGCTATATTCTCCGAAGAGGTCCTTTTTAGTCACCAAGAGTCACCAGCCATACTCGGCCATCAGCCTATACAAAGACAAACGCTGCTCCATGAGGCCCTGGCAGTTTCTTTCGATACACACAAATCCGTTATTTTGATTTGAAAACTTGAAGCCAATGGCAAGCCGCGCACCTTCATTGGCGCATGGAAAAAAAGCAAAAATCAACTATGAAGTTCCCGTTTTGGTTGGCGTTCGAACGCCGATGAACGCTAAGGCGAATGCTGTGAGGGACCGCTTGGATATTTCGATTCTGCTGGACATTTATCGTGCACATCAAGTATAATCAGTGAGAAGAAGATATAAGAATCCATCTTTTTAAACAAACTGCATTTTCTTGGCCCCCTTGTTTTGCTCAAATGAGGGAATACATGAACATATGTTCTTCAGAAACCAGGCATCGATGAACTTCTCCGGGAAATCTTCCTGTGCATCCTTACATCCATATTTCAGATGCCTGTGCACATGCTCTCGTCGATCTTTATCATTGACTGCCAAAATGTTTTTGTTTATGTTTTGACATGTATGCCCTTCTATTGTCAATCTTGTTCTGACAGTCGAAGCTCCAAGACATGTACCGGGTTTTCCCAGCATGTAATTTTCACCCGCTGAAAGGTTCCGTTGAGCTCGGAGATATGTGCTTGATATGTAACTCTCGGATTCCAAAAGATGCTAGAAAATTGTTGGGAAAGACTCGACAAAACCATAGACCATTCTCTGGAGGTGACCTATGCCACGAAATTCACCACTTGTTGGATTGTTGGCCAGTTGCCTTACTATACGTATTGGCTTGAATCATACTAACCATTTACCGTCTTATTCTCTCCTGGTCTTCGAAGGA